CTCTCTTGTATGCAACACAACAGAGATTTACTTCCCTTTTATATTTATTATCAATTAGAGATTTACTTTCCTTTTATATTTATCATCGATAAGAGATTTACTTTCCTTTTATATTTATCATCGATAAGAGATTTACTTTCCTTTTATATTTCTTATCGATAAGAGATTTACTTTCCTTTTATATTTATTAACACTGGAGCTACCGAGCAGTCAAGTTGACTTTTTAAAATTTTTCTATAGAAACTCAAAGAGTGATATTAAAACAATTTCTTTCGAATTTTCTTTCGAAAAACAAATTAAATTTTCAACAAAAATGTTAAAATGAAATGTTAAAATGTAACTGGAAAACCATAATAGGCTATAGTATTTAATGTTGCTGCAGAGTTCAATGTAAATTCATTATAAACTCATTACGTTTGTGTAAAGTGTGTATATAACTATAAAATGGTAAATAAGCTTTTGTTATTAATTACTTCGATTATTAATTTGAATTAGTATTTTTTTACACTGATTCCTGTACGTTATAGCTTTATGTCTAATTACTGATTCAAAATTTCTAGGTATAATAAAAGTATGTTATTCTTAACTTCTTTAACTACGGAATAAGAGTGTTTGCGGATGTTATTTATCGTTTGATATAATGAACTTGATCCCACTTTTAGAGTCGTGTTACTCGAACTATAAAACTGAAAGATACAGGATCAGCCGATGAAATGAAGAATTTATTGTTATTACATTCGCATACAACAGAATATCGTAAATAATTCATTGGAATAATAAAATTGAGCGTAAAGTTGAAAAACGTTATTGCTACATAATCTTCATTATGTTGTAAAAAAAAGTGGTCATCAGATTGTTGCAAAAAAAGTTGAAGCTTAATAGCTAACTGCAACTGTATCAGCTTTCAAAAAATTCAGAATTATTACAATTACAAAATAATTATAAAATCTTAATACAAAATACATTATTTTCTACCTAGATTACAATAATAAGCTTTATAATCAATAATTAATTCCATCATTTCATTGACTCATCCTATAAAAAAAAGAAATGCAACAAACATCTACGTACATGCAAAAAGCAAAACATTTATTTGTGCCACAAATATAAATATCTATTAATGTAACAAAATAATGCTTTGCCAGCATAACAAAAAATAATTGTTTCATATTCTCGGATTCTTTCAATAAAATCTGTATCAAAAACCACATTACAAGAACCCTATGTTCGATTTTACTTATAAAAATATCCATTTGTCGCGTTCATTATCTTTTTAAATTATTTTAAATTAAAATCATGTAGCGATTAAATTTATATTTAAAACAGATACACGTTTTCTGGCCATAAAAGCATCTGCCAAGTAAAAGTAATGGACAAACTAATCGAAAACTTTGTTCATAACCCCGTTCATCAACGTTCGAAGCGCATGCAAAAATTGTTTGACTTTGTGTGCATCATAAGCGCATAAAATCCGCAGTCCAGCGAAACGTGCCGCCAGAAAATACGAAACAATGTTGCACTACGAAATTTGCGGATCCCACTGACCTAAAACCTTATCGACGGGCCGAATGAAAACGTTTCGTGCGAGCTATCGCGTCGTGTAATACTATAAAAGATGTAATGAAAACGTTCCCTGCGCGAAGGTTGTCATGATGACAACGCGAAAAATAGGGAAACGAAAAGTATGATTCGTGTGTTGAATAATTGAGAATCGATACTCGTCGCGCATTGTTCTTGTTATGCTTGTTTTTACGTGTTGAAATTCAATTTCAATCGATTTACGTTTCGTATTGAGGATTTAGGATTGAGTGAAATACAAATAGTGAGAGAGAAGTGTTCATCATTCACGTAATATTCATCATGCACAGTGGGCTGTGAATTAAAACAGTGGTTGATAAATATGTAATATAGATTCGCGTGTGCCGGGGTGTTCCAAAAATTGTCTGATTAAATTTTGATAGTGTTTTGTAACGGTGGAAAGATATATTGCGCGAGGTATTTTATTATGTTGAAAATATCACTGATAACAAAGTATTCTGATAGGAAAGTATTGTTGATATGAAAGCATTCCGATAAAAAAGTATTGTCGATAAGAAAGTATTCTAAGTTGAAAATAATTTTATTTTTAATCTTTCTTGCATATAAAATCGTTATTTTTTAAGGTTATTAATTCCACAATTATCACACATAATTATACATTATATAGGTAAACTGTATAATTTAATATCACAATGTTACACATATTCTATAAAAACAATTGACTGAAAACCTTCAACGAACTAAGAATCTGAACAGAATTTAAATTGACTGAACGATTACTCTTAATTAGTGCTACAAGTTTCTAGAAGTTCTTGATCACTTTGTACACAATATTCTTTTCACCACTATTCTTAGAGCACACTGTAATAATTTAACCAGACACTTTCGAGACACCCTGCAGAATCCTTCGCTCCAACTTCCCCATTTGAAGCAGTCCACCCTCCAGTAGGGTGACATCTTAATTGAAATCACTGACAATTAAGATTGAGGTCAATTGATATCAATGAAGCTTATATGACAGCGAGACCTATATCGGTGATTTCAATGTATCGTCTAACTAACCAGAGTAAACGATTTCAGAACGAGGATGACAGTTCAATAGATAATGCTATAAATATTCAATCTTCATGTACATTCATTTCTAAATTTACAGTGTTACAGGTATTCATTTTTTAAAAAATTGATCAACAATATAGTAAGCTTTAATTAACACAGCAATGAAAGAAACTAGAAGGCAAAGAGTTAGAAACCGTTGGACCAAAAGCTTATTAGAGATTATTGTTTCTTTAATTACCAATTAAACCACCATTTTCAGCAAGCATACAAGCTACATTTAAATCAATTTCTCTAATTCCCAAGCCGGTAAGTTACTAATCTGTTACTGATTAGTAATCGGAGACTGTTCACCAACAGCATACACAGGCAAAAATAGAACACCCATTCACAGGATACAATTACAAACAGAAACAGTAGGTCCAATTAGTGGTACAACAACTGTTTCGCGAAACCGTTAACTCTGCTTCGCAAGACAATAATGATACTCCTCGCTAATTCCTTCCTCCCACACTTAAAGCAACTTAGCCCCCTATTCAACCATCGACAGACGCAGAAACATCGTTCAAACATCCTTCGAAACGTTCCATTGACACGCGTGCACGAGTAACACAAAATCCGCAGAGTTCCACCTAATTAAACAAATAAGCCGTTCATTGTTCAAATCGATTGACTCGACTTTTTGAATTTTTAAAAATTTTGCTATCAAAACGCTTCATTGGCTCTTAGATTTTTATATTTAAAATAAATTTCATTATATTACTGAGTCAACACTATGAAATAAGAAAAAGTCTTTTAACCATGTAGACATTACAATAATAATGGAAATTACTTCAAGGATATACTATTTTATGTATTTTACATAAAAGACATTTTGTAATGATCATTTGATTTTGCATTTGAAGGAAAATTTTTTAAATCAATACATAACTATTGCATCATTGTTCTTTACTTTCTGTTTTATGGAGTTCATCGATTTGTCCAATGAGTGGCTCGAATAATCCAGCGGAATGACGAAAATCGTTTCATGGATTAATCGCTAAAACTTTCGTCATTTGGTCTTTTCAAATTTAAATATATTCAAATCGAATTTTTTCTAATCAAAGATACATTAAATCCCTGATTATCCAAACTGATTGGATTCAAGATATATATCGATATACACTGCAAAGGTTGCCAATGACATGTTGACTGACTCACTTAATAAAAACCACATAACAATCTTTCATTATCCAAGTAATAAAATTACTCATTTGCAACTTTCAATTTTAAATATCAAAACTCGAAGTCGCCACTACGGCGGTAGTGAACCGTAAATAATTAATTCGATTAATCAAACGTTTGGATAACCAAGGTTCCACTGTATTTTTATATATAAAAAATACGTGAAATACATATGATCACTTGAAAATTGTGTTGTTTTCGTATAAACCATAGAGTGACTCGAGGTGAGATGGCCCGTTCTTGTATTTCTATCATACAATATAGCTTAAATGACTTGACGTCTACCGCAACGATACAAAGGTAAGAGATGTTCTCCTATTTCATAGTTTCAGTTTCAATTAATTTCATGTACCCGTATTAACGAACAACGGGCATTCGAAAATGTCAAGAATCAGAATACAATAAAACTAAGAGAAAATTGGAAGAGAAAAGATGGAAACCAATCAATCAACCCTGTCATCATCAGCCTAGCCATCAAGTGATCTATCATTGCTTTGTATTGTATATCAATGATATTTAAAATGTAATATCTGTTTGTTAACACTGAAACTACCAAGTAGGTAAATCGATTTTCTTAAATTCTTGTATGGAAACTCCAAAATTGCACCTATTGAGACTTTAATTAACACACTGACTGTCACGAGAATTCTGACTGTTTCGTACAATAATATTTATCCTATCGTAAAATTAAGTATTATCAGAAATACATATTCAGAATATGGTGTCATAGTACTCATATCACGCTACTATCTAGCTACTTATGTTATTAATTAATAATTATTACTAATTAATAGTAACAATTACGAATTAACTAAATAGTAGTTACTACTGCTATATGTTTATTCAACATCAATTTCCTTATTGTAAATGTTTCCAAGCAATTTGGAAGCTCCGATCACCGGTGACCACCATGGCAGTCAACGTATTAATTTACAATTCAGTTCGCGTAAACCAATCTCTCCAATAGAGAGAAACATCTGTTACCTTTTTAATAAGTACAAAAAGAAGAAACCAGTAATAGGTCATTTTGATCTGTTTAATAGTTTTAGTCTAAAAAAGCTGGGCCATCTCTCCCCGACTTACACGAATATCCTCACGAAACCTGAGAAAAAAGACCGGTCGTTGCCATTCGAATGCAACAAACGCCCCAGACACGCGTCAATTGACAGACACTTTCTGCTCACCTGTTGAATACGAATTTTCCTGTGCTTGGGCACCGTGTCGTTCAGCGGAGCTTTGCCCCCTTCGTTCGCCGGCCGGACGTCTTTCAAGGACTCGACGCTAGGCGACGCGTCGGAGGCGTTGCGAGCCACCTCGCCGGAAACCGACTTCTTCACTCTATTCCCGCACTTCTCAGCCGCCTCGAGCGGGTTCACGTACAGATTGTTGGTATCCGCCTCCTCGGTGAGGTCGCCCTGGGAAACCGATAGGCACCAAGCGGTTACGTTAGATACTGATCAACGTCGATTGCCCGTCGAAATGGGCCGGATGCAACCCCGCGGGATCCAATTACGGTGTTTAATCCTTTCGCTGGGGCGAGGGTCAATTGAGAAATGCGAGGGGGTCTCGCTCGGGTTGAGTGTAATCGGGGATTCACCGGCTCGATGGCGAAGTAAATCGTGGCTGCCGGGGATGATGCGGTTTTTGGTTTCCTTGTGTGTTTGGGGATGATTGGAAGGGAGGAATTTGTAGGGCTGCATTGGAAAATTGACACTTTGCACTCGTGTGTCATGCTGGGATCACAGTACAAATTTGGTATAGTTTGTTTTGTGGTGGTTTAGAAAGTAGCACGCTTTAACCCTTTGCACTCGAGAGGTGACTCTCAGTCACCATTTGATTTGATGCAGCAAAATTATAAAATTCGATATTTAATATTGAACCGTATACAATGCATTGGTGCGTGAAATATTGGGATAAAATAGCTTTGTTTCACAATTTACTTGTGATTTCTCGTTCAGTTAATTTCAAAACATATCTTTTTTGTCTAGTTAGAAAATGTTAAGTATTTCTAACGACATACTTCCGAGTGCAAAGGGTTAACTTAATTATCCATGAAACGTGAAAATAGAATAGTTCTATCCCTTGATTTCTATATTATTTACAGCAATATTAATTACAAAACGTAACATTGATATTTCATTAGAAAATGAGGAATATATCTGGCGAAACAATTCTCGAGTGCAAAGGGTTAAAAGATTATAGACATTTGAGTTTATGATAATAGTAATGGATAAAAGAAATGTGAAACGTTGAATTCTATTGCTGGAAATTACTTTAATTAATTTCCCTAGGAATATATACAAATTTATAGTTAACAATAAAACAGTAATAAAAAATATTGAAAATAAATCGAATGCAAAGTGTATTCTTTCTATGTTATTTAGTAAATGAAAGTGGATTGCTTGATATTGTTCATTAGCAAGGTTTAACGGAAAATTGGTTAGGAGGTCTTCATAAAGGTTTCTTTGTGGAAGAAATTGGAAAACTTTGTGAAGGCTTTTATGAATTGTTTTTCTTTTGGGTTTAAGTTCTTGAAGAACGTGTTTCATCTTTTTATGCTGGCGGTTAGTCTTTTTATAAATGTTATTTAGTTGCTTGTGAATGATTATTGTAGTTATTTTTCGAGTCAACTGGATATGAACTTTATGAAACAAAATGGTAACCTTACACAAAATAACAGAAAATTTCAAAATAATTCCTTTTTCTTTGTTCCATCGTGATAATATTAGAAATTATTTATCAGAAAGAGGCTAAAGATTTATAATAAAAAAGTGACACTTGATTTATATTAAAAACAGACAAGTAACATTTAGATTTGCCGATTTCCTTGACAAATTTTCATTCGGAGTCTAACTCGATAGGAGAAGAGGTTGACATCATCCCCAATTTAATCGATCGTTCAACTAGAAAATTAGCCCCGAAATAGTCAATTACCGAGGAACTGCGATACCTGTCGACTCTGTGCATTCCAGGAATAGCGAGGTTAACATTAGGACTATCTAGTGGCCTTTAATACGATTAATATGTAATCCTCACAAAAATTGCACTAATATATTCTTTTTATTTTCTTCATATAATCATTACAGTATTCAAGTGAAGCCATTTATTATTGAAATCATTTTTAACATTTAAAAGATACCAATAATTGCAAAATGAGAAAACTGAAAACCCGCCAGCTTGAGAGTGTGATGGTTCTAGTGTTCAATGAAGAAACGTGCACTCGACAACAATGAGAAGATTCATTGGATCGAAGAAAGCGAACATGTTAGTTTGCAATTGCATTTGCGTATTGCGAAATCAATTTCTTTGGTAATTTCTCAGAGAATCACGTTATCCTTTCAATAATTCTAAGTAGAATAAATCAAGAATAGGTGATTTTAACCTTCTATAAGCTTCTGTAACTTTGAAACCACATACCAACAGATTTGCATCTTGTTGATATTTCATTTTCGACAGCAAAGTGGCGAGTAAAATTCAGTAATTGATATACTTAAACTTTTATACTCTCTAGCGTGGAAGTTTAACATCATAATTTCAAAATCACAAAATATACTCGTTTTAATGCAATTACTGAAACTATTGAATACATTATTAATATGTTATTATTAATTAAAATTAATTATTTTATACCGCACACATTTTTTTATGGTTATGAAAAAAAAACTCTATAGAGGATTAACACGTTGACTGCCACGCCGAAATCGCATGTTTTGCTGAGGACGCCGCTCAAAACATCGACGTTTTATATATCACTTATTCTTTCCGCGGCAAAGATAAAAAAGAAGAATTATTAATTATTTCATATCACAATTTCTACGTTACACGAGTATCTAGTTACCCGCGATACTGGTCATTTGTATTCGACATCAGTTATCTTACAAGCTATATTTTCTCGTAATTTTGAAGTTCCGATCACCGATGACAACCATGGCGCTACAGAAGAAACAATTTGCGGTCACATATGACCACCGTGACGGTCAACGTGTTAACCTGTTTGGTAATTCTAGCGTTAAAATCGGCGTGTGCTGGAAAAAGTTCTCTCGTCGGATTCAATACCTGGGACGGATGCGTCTGACAGCTAGCGTACGTATCGGAGCTGTCCACGCTTCCTTGCTCGTTGTACGGTTTCCCGTAACTGGAGACCTCGGGCGGCTGGGCCGGTGACGTCTTCGTCTCGGTGAAGATCGACTGAGGGAGCGGCTCCACCAACATCCCGGACCGCATCGACCTCATCTCCTGGCAGATGGGATTACGAAAGTCGCTGGTCGCCAGCGGCATTATATTTTCCGCGTCTCTGAATTCTTTGTATTCCTAGAAACACCGACCATGGTGAATAGTCTCGGCACGCGGTGGCACGTGCAGCCGAGCGACGCGTGTCGCCTTCGATCGCGTTACTGAGCCTAAAAGTCACCGAGGAACGCCGCGATCTTTCGTCGTGACGTGAAATGTCCTCTTTCTTCGTTCATCGCTGAGTTTCGTTTTACGCACGGTTTCTCTCGCAAACACGTTTCATTTCGTCTCTTCCTTTTATTCTTTGCAGATGTTTTCTTTCTTTTCCGTTTCTCAGATTTCGCGGATTCCCGGTAGAATCGAGAAAGGGTTTTTTTCAAGAGTGGAGGGAATATGGAGTTTCGGTAAGGGGTTTGAAAATTGTCGGTTTTTGTGAGAGTGTTTGGAGAGTACTTTTTATCTGCGATGTGCTGGTGTTTGGAGATTTTAATTTGTTCTTTGAGGATGTTGTTTTGAGGAGTTAATGAGATTTAGAGATTTTTGGAAGGTATTTGGTTTAGTGGAGTTGAATATGTGTAGGCTTTGGTTTTGGGAATGAATGGAGTTAGAGATTTCGATTGTGTTAGATTTTCGTTCGTTTTCATATTTTTATATATGCTTTTGTGGTGTTATATTGTTCGATGGAGATAAATGTTATTGGAATTATTGACTTAATTTCTTATACTAGATAAAAGGGTCTTTTATAGGAACTATATAATTAAAGGATTGCTGTGATTTTTGCCTTATTACTTTTATTACCTCATAAAGAAGCTTTCGTCGCAGAATTATTATGAATTAGACTCGCCTAAAGTATTGACAATTTTCAAACTTTCACGTTTCCAAACGTTAGAGTTCAAATTTTCAAATTCTCGATTTCTCAGATTCTCAAATACTCCAATTTTCACGTTTCAAATGCTCAAATCCAATAACATTCTACAGGTTTCAGGGCACAGAAATATCGCGCATACTTAGGAAGATGAAAGAAAACATCAACTGTTGAAGCAGAGAACATTCACGGACGACGAAACTCGCGCTCGCTAATCAGGAAACCAATCGAGAAAATAGATTTCTGTCGGGTGCTAAATGCTAAAGGGAGGTACGGAACAAAACAACTGTGTGTTCTATAAATAATTGAATCTATTTGATGTGGCCATTCTACGTTCGTATTATTATACTCGCCTGATGTGTCCAGAAACGTATTTGCACGGTCATTAGAGCAGATTAGAGAGTAGAAGACGATATATACGAGGTGTTCCATGGAACGTGGGACACGCTTGAACGATGAACGAAGACAGAAAAAACTCTGAGAAAAGTCTCTACAAACATATCCCCTATTTGACATCATTCCCAATTTGTAGCAGATTTTGTAGATCGCCATTCCGGTAAATTACAATTAAAATGTCTATCTTGATAAATAGTATACAACTTGTCTATTCCATTTCTAGTAGATAAAACCCTATAACTCTATAATTACACTAGTTAATTAACTGAGACTGGTAAAATAACGTTCTGTAGAAACTCCAGGTGTAAATGGAACCATTTTGGTAATTTTGTTCCGCTTTTTATTGTTAATAGTTTCCTTTACCATATTAATATTCATGGATACATTGTTATTGCAACTTATATGGAAGTTTCATGTATGACACAACGGTAAGATCAGAATACTATACTCACTAAGAACGAGTTATAGATTATAACTGCTGCATTTACTAGGAAACTTTCAAAACACCTTCAATTATCCGCAAGGTTTAACCGCCATTATTTCGCAATTAATTCGCTAGAACGAATTGCAGAATAAAAACGATATATGTACAGTAAAGCAACAAAGTATTCAAATATTTTACATTGAAATTAATTGATTAATTTAGATTTCAGTTAATTTAGATTAGAGGAAATCATTAATGCTGATTTTAATCACCATAAGAATAAAGTGAAGGAACAACCACAATTTGAGAAAAAGATGTCAAAACGAAGTGTACGTTGACACAAACTCCTTTCATTGTTTTTGGTTCCCTTTATTCAAGTGCGCAGCGTGTACCACATTGAAGAACACCCTGTATAATAATGCAGGCCTGCAATAAGATGCGAAAACGTAAGGAAAATAAGGTCCGCTAGATGTTAAATCGTTCCCAAGCCAGCCAAAAAACTGAACCTACCGTAGATGCACAAGTCACGCGCTACGAGTATCACATAACAAAGAATCGATTGCAAATTGTTGTTTATAAGGTGCTCGTCTATCGTGCTTGTTATTCGAGTCCTTTTGTTCGCTAAACGAACGCATGCTGAAAGGACGAGAAGTGGAAGAAGAAGAAGAAGCGTTGTGCTGAGGAATCCGTTATAGGACAGAGGAACGATAATGGTGCGAGATTTTATTGGTGGATCACATGTGTGTGATCCATTTGAGTTGTTTATATCAGAAAAAAATTTCTATTCGGCATTGAGTATATTCATCGACGAGAATTGAGAACAAAAATACTCATGGATTTTGTTGTATATATATTTCGTTTAACGACTCGATAAATATTCAATATTTCAGAGTTAACAAGTGAGGATGAATTATATTTTTTCAATTATTATTATATATTTATTAATATATCTTAATATATATATATTTTTTCTTCAATTGTTAATATTTTTGTAACATTGAGTAGTTTTAACGTTAAGTCGAATGAATTTCAGAATGTATATGAATGGAAATAGTACTTTGGTAGGTCATTGAACTTTTCTTGATATGTATCACATTATAGTGTGCTACTATACGAATGTTTTATTAAGCTACCATTCCTTAAGTTTAAGTTTTAATTGAAAAATGTTACTCTCATTCTATATTAAATAATAATAATCATTATCATAATCATAATCATATTCATAATCATAAAATCATTGTATATCAAATAATGATAATAATACTAAAATCATTCTAAATTGCATAATATAGCACAATACATTATAAAAAAAATAAAAGAATATCACAACGATCAGCAATATACTCACAAATAATGATCCACGAGTAATTTTATCGATTGCAAGTTCTCATCGATGGAAAATGCCAGGAATAGATTAGACGAAAGATTAAATCTAGATTGTTCCTCGATCACCATTTCCCCTCATTCACGGTCGTACAATGGATTCAAACGAGCTCCGAGATCGGCTCGTCGTTCAAGGAAAGCGTACATTCCGTGGTTCAAATTTTCTCTCGCGAAATGAGAGCTGCCGAATCGATTATCGATGCCCGACGCACGGGGAAAATATGAAATGAAAAAGAAAAAATATATGGGAAACCGGGTCGTCAATTTGACCTGGAAACTGTACGCTTTGGAAATTGGAAAGTGACGATTGTACACGTGTAACAATATCCTGCGCCGACGAAATTCGAGCATTGCCTTCCATTCGGCCGCTCGTTTTAGGAGGCAACGACGCTGCCGGGAGTCGATTATTAATTTCAACGACTCCTCGAGCCGTCTTGAACTCGAGTTTATTAAGCTGCTGCGGTATTTCTGTCGATTAATAAATTTTTCTTGTGCCACGCTTATATAGATGGAGCTTGAATACTAAGTTGGGTGAAATATTATATTTCAAACGCGAATATTTCTTGAAAGTATTCATTAGACTTTTAATATACGACTGATTTATTATAAATTTCATAAATTTTAAATCAATCAATAATATACGATTTATGTATCAAACTATAATCATACAACACGCAAAAACAAAGAACGTACGCATTATTCTTTAAAAAGTGGCTAGAAATTCTTTTATTCCGCTCAACGTCCGCCGTCTTCATTCATCGGAGAATAGAAAACAGCGGCCACAACGATTCTCCTTGAAAATAACGTTCTTTACTGTCTTTGGCGAATAGAGCTTACGTAGCAGCCTAATAAACCTCGTCACGGAGACTTTGCTTATGCGAATGAGAACTGGGTCGTCGAGATTTAATGGTTCCACAGTGAGCAAGTGTCGCAGCTGCAGAATCACATTCATCATCGTCACAGCTGTCGCATTTGCATCACCGAAATTAATCTCCTCTCTCGTGCGTTCTAGTTTCTGTTTCGAAAAGATCAAGCAAAGCCCCGTCACACGATTGCAATAACCCTAGAAAGATTGAATGACAGCCTTTCGCAGTGAAACAGTTGCAAGATATTCAAAACATGCGATCACTTTTATATAAACACTTCAAAAGAAGATTTATCGACATTTATCTTCAACGCTAAAACTACGGAACAAAATCACCCGTCCCTGATGTCTTCTTATTGCAATTATTAAGCAGATAACAGACCTTTCTCTGAGAAATTATTAAAGACATTGATTTAGTAATACGCAAACTGAATCGTAAATCAATTAAAGTCTCAATAAATGCACTCTTAGAGTTTCTATAAAGGAATTTCGAAAAGGCAATTTCACAGCTCGGTAATTTTAGTGTTGAGACTCTTATCGAAGAATTGTTTTAATTTAACAAAAAAATGTTCTAGTGCGAATAATTAATCAGATAAGTCGCTTGATTTGGAAAGTTAAATCTTTCCAGGGTTAAACAATTGAACCTGAATTATTTGTTTAATGCGATTCTAAGTAGCGTTCATTATTCGATTGGATGACACGTGTACGGTGATCAGTTGAATCGTGCCGCTAAGTACGTAATCTAATAAAAGGACCGCGGCATAAATCATTTGAACACTGTGCACCTGTAGTGTTAGGAGATCGTCTGATCATGCTGCGTATGATAGTAAGATGAGTGAAAGTGTAATGTGTGCATATCCTCTTGCTCTATGCAGTCAATTAAGGGAAAAGAACGTTAAAGATTGGTAAGAAAAAAAGTTGTATTTTAATCTGTTGACCAGGGAAGAGTTGTGCTTTGTACCGTCCGTTGCAGCGAACTTGGCACTCTCGTCTGAGTGGTCAGATTCGAAGGCGCACGCTTTGTCCACACGGAGATTCGATTCTGGTACATGATTCGCTGAGGCGCTCACGCACATTACTCGGGTCGCGCGACAAAGAGTGGGGAGAGCGGTTTCAAGGCTCGCAATTGGAACTCTCGGAGCGACTGT